CAAACAGAAAAACCTTCTTTCTTTTTTTTTTTTGCCTTTTTAAGGGCTTACATTTCTTTAAAAATTAATGGTTAATGGTTAAAAAGCAAAACTAAATGTGCTAGATATCTAAGGTCATATAGCACTATAGGAAAGTATATTTAAGGAGGGCTGAAAGGTGATAGTTGCTATGCATCAAGTAAGTGATCTTGAAAGGTTAAGATAGTTAAAGATGTTGTGTAAATAGGCTATGGTGGGTTTAGGTAAGGGAATTACATAGGTGATTCACGTGTGCATCCAGGAGGGAGTGGAAATGATAGAGGAGATGGAGGGAGGGAGTGGAAATGATAGAGGAGATGGAGGGAGGGAGAATGTACGTATAGTTGGAGTTGAAGGGTGTGGGTTCCGTTGGGAGGGAGTAGGGGGGAGTGGTGTTGGGGGAATATGAGTAGGAGGAGGATGGATATCAGCAGTAGTTGGTGTTGAGGGGAATGGGTTGTGTTGGGAGGGAGTAGGAGGAGGAGGATTGGTATCAGGTGGATGGATATCAGTAGTATGTGGAATTGAGGGGGTTAGGTTGGGTTGAGAGGGAGTAGGAGGGAAGGGTGTAGAGGGAATATGAGTAGGAGGGGGTTGGATATCGGCAGTCGAGTGTGGAGGGAGCATGAGTCGTGGAATTTTGTGACTCAAGCATATAGCTTTGGATATCTCCCATAGTTTCTGCAGTGGAGTTGGTTGGAGAGTTTTGTGAGACAAAGGTTTTCTTATGAGGGGGGGAAGAGGAGACGTGTCTGAGGAATAAAAGGTAAAGGTAGGTGGAGGTGAGTGTGCAGTAGGGGAAGAAGGGGGGGGGGGACATTTAGTCTGTCTGCTGCAGGTAGTGCAGGGAGGGAGAGGGGATGCTGTTGGGGCTGTAGTTGAGATTGTGGTGTCTGGATTCAGTGGCAAAATAATTTGACTGGGGGAGGTTGAATGTAGAAGTGGAAGTGGTGGAAGTGGGGAAGTAGGTAGGTATAGGGGAGGGTGTAGGAACATCTTGAGGTCGGGGGCGCAGAGCGAGCTACATTACTGGAGTAGGGAGTATAAGAGAAACCTTGTCGGTGTGCTTCCTGTCTGGCTTCATGTAGTGAGACCATTTTTGTATCTGAGAGCTGCTACCTCAGACTCGAACTTGTAAGTAGGACAGCCTCTATAAAATACATTATGGGGGCTGATGCAGTTAGCACATGTGCGTGTTTGTGCAGGGCAGTTTGATGTTATGACCGGGTTGGGAAAGAGGGGACATCGGTCTGTGGAGTGGCAGTGTTTGGCAGGATGTCCAAAGTGCCAACAATTTTGACATTGACAGGGAGGAGGTTGGTATGGTTGAACAGGGAGGGATTGTCCACCAATGTAGATGTGAATGGGAAGGTCATGTGTACCAAAAGTAATTTTGGCAATGTTGGTGGGTTTCTTTCGATGACCTCTAGGAGGATTGGAGTAGCAATGTATTGATATCACGTCCTGTTCTTTGAGGAAGCCAAGCAAGTCTTCTCCACAATCTGACCAATCTTTGATATCGACTGGGCAGTTTGCTGGGAAGATAGAGACAGTTCCGGTACAAGTATGAAGTTAGATGAGGTTCTGCAGGGATGGGGTTACCAGAGAGATCAGTTAGTTTTGATAATGCTATAGCTTCAGCTTCAGATCTGACTGTTACGAGACAGGAACAATTGCATCGGGTACGGAAAGGGACCGCCTACATGTTTTTGGAGACATTGTTGAAAGAGAAGTGTTGCCTGAGTAAGGAGCTGTAGAGGGGGATCACGAAAAATTGGTCCCATTTAGCTGGGCTAAATAGAGTAGTTAAGATATTTGTAGGGTTGGTGGTGGTAGAAGGACGGGGGCATGTGGAAGCGGGAGTGTTGTTGAAGGGGGTAGTATTATGGAGAGATGGAGAATAAGGCTGTAAGGTAGTAATAAGGAGAGGGGTGTTTGAAGGTTGTAGGGGTAGAGATGATGAATTTGAGGAAGTTCGGAGGGTAGGAATGTCTTCTGGAGATTGAGTCTCTGCTTGGGTGGGTAATGCACTAGTAGGCATTGAGGAGTGGATAGTAGTTTCAAGTTTTCAGAGTCGTGGTCAAAGGAAAGCCTGGGGTCAGGGAGCCGTTGGGGCTATTTGATGAAGGGGCAAGCCTCATTGCCCCTAATTAGGGTATTACATCTTCATTACTGGCCATGGGAAGCCTTGATTATGTAAAGGGACATCAAACAGTCCACCCCCCAGTGCCCTGTAGGGGGTAAGGGCTAGACAATTAAATCAGGGGAGTACCGTGCCCATGATACCCGCAGGCTGTTCAGGACTGGCACAAGGTCAGCCTTTCATCCTTTCAGCACGGCTCTTACACCTTAGGAAGTAGATAGTAGAAGGGGTTGGAGAAGGGCCGGAAACAAAAAGCTGGAGGGGGAAAAGACCATGCAAAATTAGTCGAGTTGAGGGCTAAGGCCCTAGGCAGGGGAGATCCTTGCATTGAGTCTCAGTCTCTGTCTCCTAAGCCCCCCCACGAAAACGGGCAAGAGATTGGGGGGGTCTAAAAAATTAAGACAAAATAATTTTAAGATTTGTTAAGGATGTGCCTAAGCCCTGTATTACTTTTGTATACATTTATCCCACTAAAGGTTAATTATAATACAATCCTTAATGAATAAATTATATTTGGATATTCTCAGTCTTCAGAAGCCCTGTTTATTGCTTCAATTCAGTAAAAACACAAAAGAAAAAAGTTTACAATAGCAAATGCCTACTATATATATAAAAAAAAAAAAATGTATAGATTATTTTAAACCATTTCATATTTCGAGATGCTTGCACCATCTAAATATTTAATTTGTGCAGTAACTTTTAAAAATGTGTTTGTAACCTGTTACATCTATATATAAGGATTTAATACATAACTATACACAAATACATTAAATAATTTTGAAAATTCAGAATTATGAAATACACATACATTTTTAATGCAAAAGATATTAGCTTATTTAGCAGTCTTTCTTTAGTTAATAAAGAAAACCCATACATTAACACAAATTGCAAGTGTAAAATGCAAGGTCAAAAAGGAAAATGCAAGAAAACATATAATAGTACAATAACAGAAAAAATTCTGGGTAAAGTATTCACACAAAATATTACACTGGACAAACTTGCTTTTCTGCTAATTAGATGACTTCATATCTTTAGCACCATCTCTGAATATAAAAACTATATCCGCAGGATATATTTTGATAAGTGCTATTTTAGTCAAGGCTAGTTTTTTATATTTCTTTCTATTTTCTGGATAATATCAACCACAGAATTATTAGAGCACAGTGCTAAAAACACATGGCTTAAGCCATGGAAGACCCGTCACTAAAACATCTAATGAAAGAGCAATACAGATCTAGCCATAATGATCTCTCTTTTTTTTTCACTTCAAAAATGCCTGAAGTTTTTACCTTGCTTCAAAACAAAATTTGAGATATCTGCAACAACAAAATCAATACTTTGAGTATTCAATGCCAAATATATATTTTTTCTTCCATAATAAGTGGGGACTGATGTGACACCAGTCTTAGTCTACTTATCACAGTGAATGAAGTGTGAAAGCATGGAAATGTTATCATGCATGAGGAATATCTTAAAGCTATAAAGAGGTACATACTGTACCAATTTAATATCAATATATGGTCAAAGTGTAAGAACCATGATATTTCACTTCAACAGCAATGTTCCTATGTTTCCAATGTAACTTGCATGTTTAACAAGGTAGCTAGTTTCATACTATTGAACTTGAAAGTACATAATAATCAACCATACTTATTGCAGCTCACTCTCCACAAATCTATTTCTTTTTCATAACCTGATAACGAGTAACTGCAATATATCACATATGAGCACTCACACTTTTACAACAAAATGGGAGATTCACTGTTGTGGTTTCATCATTTCTGATGGGTCACAAACACCAGATGGGCCACCCATCATAAAATTTACTTGAAAGTTATTCACACACTGATACAATTAATTAACTACACAAGCACATTCTTCAACCCATAAGTACATTTTTCTTTAAATATCTTAAAATATTCATTTTTGTTCCAGATATATTCAAGATCATTAACTATAACTTTGTTGTATCAGCCTTTGCTATCTAGTTCTAATGAAATAATCTGAAATAATATTACTTAAATAGTCACCTCAATATCAATACTATAGGATCAATATTCTCATCTGTTCATGTTACAAATAGTAAATCACCTTTCAATATTAGCAGTATCTATTGATCTGCATTAACCTAGAAAGCCCAAATTCTCCCAGGACACCTTTTACAAAAAGCACTGGGATTTGGGATATCATATAATAACCAAATCCTTTACACTTAATATCTCTTCTTTGTAGTACTACTGTAAAATTATGCAATATCTGGCACTTGTAATGGATAAGCTTTACAAGCTCTTACAAACCCATACATGTTCAAAGTTTTTCATAATGCAATATTTTGTACTACAGTACCAACAATCAATTGCTACTGATATGCAGTTTGTCCTCATTTTTTTCATATATATAAAAAAAAAATGAATACATTTCATGTCCTGTTTTAGACACTGCATTTTTACAACAATTTACCACACAAAGTTATATCTTTCCAAAGGGCAATGTTAAATTACCATAGTTGCCACTGGAATTCAAAAATGTAAAGAAAGATTCAGTATATACATTACATTTAATAACAAATACAAAGGGAAAAAAAAAAAAAAAAATGAAGCCTATTCCTCCTTGTCAAAGCCAGCATGCTTCCTTTTAATGCGAGCGTAAGGACCAATGTCCGGATCAGTTATGAAGTCATAAATAACCTTCACCCAAGATTCGTGCTGTGGCAAAGTATCATAATATTCTGGAGCAATCTGCTTCACCTGAAATGAAAAGATGATATTACTCAAATTACTCCTCCATTTTATGAACATTCATTTTATCAATTTATCAATAATATCTGTATTCAATTCATATTTCTGGAGACTAAAGCAAATATTTCATCATTTTATAAAACTGGTATCACCAATGAACAATAGTGGAACATAAACCTACATATCCATACTCTCTCTCTCTCACTCACTCTCTCTCTCAACCATACCAATTCCACTCATCTGCCAACCCACTAACATAAGTCTTTAGATATAGATATGCATGTTTATACATTTATGTACATGCTATTGTACAGATTATCATGAACAAAATATTCTCCAGTCTAGTCTAGTCCACTAAACCATTGGCTCTGGATGCTTCACTGCCTTCATGTGCCTTAAAATGTGGGCATTAGCCTTACTTGAGTGCCCCCTCTGTAATACATCCTATGCCATCAGTCATAGTAGGCATGAATAAGATCTTGAGCATAGACATATCATTGTCCCTGAAGCCCACACTCTTCCAGTCATGGCTCACAGATGGTACATTCCAAACTCGTTTATCAATGGAAATAATGCAAAAACTCCTTCCTAAATGTCCATGGAGTCTAATCATCCTCCAAGAGATTTGTACATCCATCCATGGTGAGTCATTCCCACCACTTTGGCCTTCAACCAAATTTCTCATGATGGCAAGTTCCCATCACCCTTGCTCTCAACCAAATTATCCCAGGATGCCATGTTCCCACCCACTTGCCTCTCAAGCCAATTTTTCTAATGACATGATGGTCAGGTCATCCAGACCACAGGGGTCAACTAAAAACTTACCTTTGGCAGTCGGCTTCCTGGGATGTAGGGGAAGTCATGATGTTCATTATGATAGCCAACATTGAATGTTACTAAATTCAATGGGCCATAATAACTATATGTTTCAAAGCCTTTTTTGAACATGTAATGCTCTGAGATGAAATGTCCAGCAACAGGATGAATACCCATTGCCAATAGAGACCCTGCAGCCAAATATGTAAGACACTTGCCTGGAAGGAAATATAGAAAATTATTAAATTATATTCATCCTTATTACATTCTGGTATGTTCAATAGTGGTATACCCAAAGGACATTCAGAGTTCTAGTATGATGCAAAAGTGGAAATTGAGTGACAACTGAAACATTATATAGTACATACACTCATAAAATGACCAATGTCCTTCTCTAACACATGAAAAATACACTCACCACCAAGGAAGTAAAACAGACAGAAGTTGAAGGTCAGCTGTACTGTAGTGTTGATGATTTCTAGTGGAGTGGGGTTCTTAGGGTATGTCACAATCGGTCTCAAGGCATAGAACAGTGGCTGGAAAAACATCCAGACCATCTTTCCAAAGGTTGTGCAGAATAGACGCGCTTCAAGATTTGTTGGAATGTCAGTGTCAAGTTTTTCATCACCTTGGTACTGTATAAAATAAAATAAAAATTGTTTACATGTGGATATTAATAATACAATATTTAGCTAATAATCTAAACTTAAGAAAGAAAAAGAAGAGTATTTCCTTTGCCAGCTAAAAAAATAAATATATAAATAAGAATTAAAAAAAAAAAAAAATCACAAAAGAAAAATAAAGAATATCAACCATTAGAATATACAATAAGCAAGACTGTTATATCAATTTTAAAGATTTAGGTTATCTGATCATTTACATGATGGTCATGCTTTCGTAATATTACCATATTTTAGGTGCTAATAATGCTTGTAAGAATATCAAACTGACCTTGTGATGCTCCAGATGGTAGCCCTTAAATGACACAGAAAATGGGAGGATAATGGGAAGGTTTGCAAAAATCCCCAGAATGCGGTTGGCCATTGGTCGTGAGTGACCGAATGCGAGGTTGTGGGATATTTCATGAATTGCTGAAAATGAGAGAAGGTCAAAGCATCAACAGGACTATTGAGCTAAAATACATTGTATCTAGAAAAAAAAAACATGTATTGTACTGTCCACTATAGTTTAGTTTTGTGAATCCTGTTTACACTCAGATGGCTCAATAAATAATTGCTAAATCAAATACTGTTATTCTTACTATAATCACAGAAGTTATGATTACTGTAATGTTTATAACAAATATCAAAGAAAGGAGTAACCATATGAGACAAGGTAGGAGTACCTTGATCCTTGATCATTTATGTGTTGTGGGAAATTTATGAACTAAAATCTGACTTGCTTCTAATAGTAGTAATATTTACACTAATAAGGCATTTCACAATACTAAAAACTGAAATATTATTGGCAAAAAAAAAAACAGTCTAACACAAAAGAAAATAAATTCAATCATTCCTAAACAAACATGTAAATTACCAACCCAACATTAGTGAATGGTTGATGGTTCCTCCAATACAATAGGACAAGATGAGGACCCAGAACCACGACAACTCTCTCACCACGAAGAGGGATGCTAACTGGAAAGTGACTAGGGCAAACACCCACCACACAAGAGTTGCATCATTTCCAAACAACTCCTTTATCTCTGGGTGTTTTTCTGCAGAAAAATCAAAATCAAAATTAATGATGTTTCTCATGTAGGATCAGCAACTACAAAGATTTTTC